TGAGTACCAAGTGCTTCATCATCATGTTTGGATTTACTTGCGGCGTGATGTTGGATTTGGTGCCAAAGCTCTGGCTCCTCAGTGTGTACTTCAGGAGAGAATACTTCAGGCTATTGCATGATCCCATCAGCCACAGTTCAACTGTACAAACAGTCTCAGCTTTCAGATGCCCAGAACCCAGAGGGTGCAAAAGTGTGCAATAACAAAAGCAGGAAACAGGAAAAAAAATAAAGCTACGGAAAAAGACCCTAATTATTTGACCACAATTTTAAACTGTGATTTATTACAGTTTTTTTGTATTTAGGTTTAGTTAACATCGTTGGCTGGAATGACAGCAGCGTTATTCATGTTTTGTGTGAAGATGAAGTGTGTTAAGGATTCAAACTGCCGGTGTGGTTTCAGTATTTCCAGGTTTAGTCCTGTAGTGTTCGTTTCTTCCCAGAAATCAGTTTGTGGTTGAGTTTAATTGGTTTTAATGAGTCGTAAGTTTGAACCTGCCAGAACTTCAAATGAGTCAAATGAGTCGAGCAGATCCTGCTGTCAAGTTAACGTTCGATGAAATAGGAAAAGTCTGGAGGATGATGAGCTTCTACCAGTCTGTCTCTCTGTCTCTCTGTCTCTCTGTCTGTCTCTTCTTTAGGTTGATTAAAAATGATTAGTGGGTCACCTTGTCTGTACTGTTACAGTACTGTTCCATTGTGTGCATGAACAGAGCTCAGCTTAATGAACCGTTGTTTATTTCATCATTAAAATATACCGTCCAAAAATCATCGTCGTTGTTGTTCAAAATCCCACCTCTGTCTGACAAAGCTGTCGATACGTTTGTAGAACGGATTCTATCGCTACTACTATTTTATTAATGTTACTTGCCTCCATATAATGTGAAAAAAAAAAACCTGCTCATAAAAATCCAGGAACTAAGAGTCACGCCGACTCTTCTGCGGAACAATTATCCCTGAATTTTACAGGAGGTTTTGTTTCTCCACTCTGGAGGAATCTCTCTTGGGCGAAAGAGACACGCTTAAAATTTCCCATCAGTCTCTCTGCGGCACAGCAGTGTTTAACAATTCATTCCTTATAGAACGGAGTCAGTGCTTTTTTGTTTTTTTTCAGTGTCTTGGCAAAGTTGACAGAATGACATAATAACACTGCATCACAGAAACGTCAGAGATCTACATGAGTCGTTACATTCAGTACGACTGTGATGATGTGTCAGACACTGAGCTCTGGTCAGAACTCAAAAGGCAGAAGGGTCAGGTTCAGTACTGACCAGTGTTGGGAATGTACTTTGAAAAGTAATTAGTTAAAATTAGCAAGTGGGCCAGTACCATCATCACCAGTGTAATCATAATAATAATTAACTATAAATCCATGTCCATGTTTTCCCCCTTTGTTGGGGGATATTAGATATGTATTATTATTTGTTCATTCATATAATGAAATAAAATTTTTCAAAAAATAAAAGAGAACTGCCACACGGGCCTGTTTTGGCCCCCGGGCCGTTGGTTTATATTCTCTGACGTCTGACCTATCATTGTCCTTGTTTTCTGGAAGACCAATTCCAATCCCATGTCCAGTCCAGCCCGGTGTTTTTACCCTCGATGACGGAGCGTTTTTCTCTCCTCCAACCATTAACCACACTCTTCTGCCTCGACTTCACAGAAACGTTAATGACATGGAGTGAAGCGTCCAGGGGGTCTGGTCTTTTGTAGGTCACCGCAGAGAAAATTGTAGGTTTCTGATTTCTGTCTGACCTTTTCTGGAGGCAACAAATTACTGTTGTACATCCATTTTCACACATGGCCACATGGCTATATTTTAATAAAGTAAAGGTTTGTTAGAGATGGAGAGGAAACGAAAAAAAAAAATATATATATATATGCAGTAGAATTGAAGAGAATACTGTTGTTACCCAGAGTTAATTTTGTAGCACAACACCAGGTCCAGAGGAATTTATCAACACCAAGTTTTAGATAACAGGAGGAGAAAAAAAACTCACATGCACCCTCCAGAGGACAAGGAAGGAAAAACAGCATTTTCACCGTAATAAAACCCCGCTGTAGTTCCAGGGCTAATTTCAAAAGGAAGTCACAGGACAGAGAAGAATCCCTTAAATTAAAATTTGTTATATAAACAGTACCAGGCGCCAAGAGGATGAGGTCCAGAGGCTTGGAACTGTTTTTAACCACTGGCATATTTATGTGCTGTTTTTATTAAGTATAATGAACAAATCCTTTGGCTTTTCATGGAATTAACTTTTACCTACAACATTATTATTTTTAAACTTTTTTATTACTTATTTTTATATTTATATTTTAAGTTTACTTGCTTAATTAAATTACCAACTACTGTTTTATCCAGTTGTGTTTAAGCTAATAATGGCTCATTTATTATTTACTATAATTTTTGTTATTTTCCTATTTAACTGTTAAACTTTTTTAAATAATTATTTCATTTCATTTTTGACAAAAGTTGAAAACATTGTATTTTACATGATGCTAAAATGGCCGTTGTTTTTGATATTTTAAATTAGAATCCTTCTTGGTTTCATTTTTTTTTTGGACTCCTCTGTGTATTGACAATATAAACACCCAAATGTTGCGTATCATCATCAAACTCAAATCTTAGATCTTAGGACTAGGACCAGTTAGTGAATTCTGGTTATTGTCACTGATTTGTGCAGATTTCCCCCCCCGATTTCAGACCAGGATCTGTGTCAGGACAGACAGCCTTAATGCCGGTATAATTAGGTTTGGACGTGTGCAAATAGATGTGGGCCGACTGAGACCGAAAACATTCCATCCTATTAGCAGAGTCTGACTCCTGTCTAAAAGTTTTCACAGACTCTTGGGATCCGGCGGCGAGAGAAAAGCAAGAAAAGCCCAGGTTTCTGCTGCGCTGCAACTGTCCAACACACACAGATCAATGCTGCCTGTAACGGTGCCGCGGAGCAAGATTGAAAACTGCAAAGTGTTTGACTCTGCAAGCTCCAAGGTCAGACAGCGATCCAGGCCTGGGAGGCAGGATGAAATGAAACCCATGAAAGCATGTCAGAAATGTTAATTCTGGTCGACCAGGCATAGAAAACACTGTCCAGAGGAATTAGAGATTTGTCCTGTGAGCTGAGGTTCTCCGACGACTGACGAGCGCTGTAGTGAAGAGGCTGTTCTAACATTTCAGAGGAAACTTTCCCCGGTGGTAGAAATGTAAAGTATTTCATCCACTCTGAAGTATTCTGAAACGCTGAAGGGTTCCAATTTGAAACACTAAATACAAAGTGTAATGCTGTGGATTTTGGGACCGGCTTCAGAGAAATGTTTGACTGTGACTGTCCTCTTCATTATCCTGAGGTCAAAATTCAACTTTAACTCAACGCTGTCTGATTAACTAATTCTAGCTGGTGCTAAGCTCATTGATGGGGTGTTTCGTAAGCTAATTTCTATTATTGACATTTCTAACTTTCATTAATTTTTACTTTATTTTTTGGTGCCAGCTTTTGGTTTAAGTTTAAACAATTACTAGAATTATAATCCGTATAATCAGTTGAACTTCTTGCTAACCCTTTTAAACAATTACTAGCATTATAATCCATACAGTTGAACTTCTTGCTAACCTTTTAATTTAAGTTACAAGTTACTTAATTCAAGGTAATTTTACATAATTATATTACTATTTTTGTAGTTTTTCACAACTGTAAGTACTTTTGGCCAACCATTAGCTATAGTGTTACTTCATTTTTGTTGGATTTCCTTTGGAACTACTGACCTTGAAATCACCAGTGAAAGGTTTTTCGAAGAGGTAACAAAAACCAGCACATTCTCACACACACACACACACACACACACGCTGGCACCACAGGGTCTGCAGTGACATCACTAACCCAGGGGAAGCCAATTTTCCTATTTTTGGTGACAGTCAGCCAGGAAAACTCTTTCTTTTTCCATCTGTTTTCTGCTCTATTAGAGTTTCTCTCTCTCTCTCTTTTCCCTCTCTCCCCCTCCTCCCCTCCTCCCCTCCTCCCAATCCCAATTTTGTTTGATCTTCTTCATTTTAGATAAGACAAAAGAACGGTACACAGAGGTTTTTCAAACTGGGCTTAAACTGAGCTCCTGAACCTGTCCTTCTGTCTGCCTGTCTAAAAATATTCATATTTAATTCAATATAATTTGACAAAACATCACCAACATGCAGTGTTTCTGCATTATTTTTTTTTTCACTTTCAAAATCCATCAAGCGGGCCAGATTGAACCCCCTGTTGGGCCAGTTTTGTCCCGCGGGCTGTATGTTTGACAACCCTTTATCTAAACAATCTCTAATCTTTTTCTTTTAAATTGATGTAGTCTGAGTAAAAACGCGATGCTCTTACAAGAAAGATGTTTCCAAAAAAAAAAACCCAACAATTTGATGTCAATCAGCTTCACTTACAAAATCAACCTGTCAAACGCCACACTTTTATAAAACAGTAGCATAATCACAGCCTGTCTCTTCTCCTGTTAATGCTTTGTTAGTGTTCACTTCTGGCTCTTAATGGATTTTTAAAGGGCTATAAGCTGCTCCACCACTGCGAGCGTCTGTCTGACTGCCTGCCTCCCGCTGCTCCTCCCACAGTGCTAAATGGTTTTAGCGCCAGAGTGGATCAAAGGTTTGAGGCTTTCGCTCAAATTCAGCCATTTTTCTTTGATCCCGTGGAGTAGTTTGTGTGAAATGTTTTCTGTTTGTTTCATTTAATTACCACGTTACATAAGCATTCGCACAAAGAGAGGGGGAGGAACTGAATGGAGCGATGTCAAGACCCTGCGCAGCTGCAGGGAGCTGAATGGAGCGATGTCAAGACCCTGCGATTCTGTGCAGAGAATAAAGACTGCTGGATTAATATGTACCACAGATTAAAATTATAATTATATCTCCGGCAGGACCAGCCTCGTGGTGGGCGTCCATCTGCTGAAAATATTCGACCCCAGCGAAATGCTTGATCTTTGTAATGTGTTCTTCTCTTGTAGGCGTCCAGAACCACCCGCTCAGACGAGGACAGGGACATGGGCTGGGACGCCTGGGGCCCCTGGAGTGACTGCTCTCGCACCTGCGGGGGAGGAGCCTCCTACTCTCTGCGGCGCTGCCTCAACGGAGAGTGAGTCTTTTTAAATCAGGAGTTTGTGTTTAGATGACTGAGAAGTTACACAGAGACTGATCTCTCCTCACTGGGAGGGTGTCCTTTACCGAGGACCAACGTTTAGCAAAAGTCTATAAAAGCTAAGACAGGTGGCATTTTTAATCATCACTTTGATAGAATTTGATACAATAATGGTCAATATTAGTTTCCGTAGTTACACGACCAACTTTTAGTTGTTTTTGTTTGTAGTTTTCTTGTTGTTTTTTGATACATTTTAGCTTTTGTGTTGACATAAATCTTCTTATCTCTTTTTGGCTAACCGTTACTTTGAAACTAATCTTAAACCATTTCTACCTGAATTGTATTATTGTTGGGATGTTAGAATATTTTTGCTAACAAGTAACTAATATTTTCTTACATTTTACTTGTTATTGTTTGGATATGTAAAATTTACTGTTTCTTCTTTGGTCTCACTGATTGTCTTTTTGCATTTTTTATTAACTTTTTAAGTTGCTACATTTTTGGCTAGCCGTTTTTCTGTAGGTTTTGCCATATTTTTTTGCTAATGTTTTCCTCTTTTTTTTAAATCTAGTTTAAATATAGTTGAATTCCAATTACGTCAGCAACAAAGTGTGGGAAACAAAGTGTAAGCTTGGAACTGATTGGCCAGGGAGCATCTGTACGGAGCGGTGGTGTGGCCGTGGTGCTGGGAGGTCAGACAGTCGATGTCTGGTCTGGGTGTGTGCTTCTGTCTGTGCCTCACACTGATAAACACATCAAGTGTGTGTGTGGTTTCTAATCGTTGCTCTTTTTAAAAGCCACAATCAGACTGTCTGCTGTGGCTGCCAGCTCTCTGTCTCGATTGAGGAAGTCATCGCAGACTATCTATTTCAGTGTGTGTGTGTGTGTGTGTGTGTGTGTGTGTACCCCGTGGCATCGTTGGAGAGCTGCTCGTTTCTCACCATTATTCTACACGTGTTGACTACAGCTCACACTTAGTTTCTCAGCCATTACGGAGCTGGAATTTCTCCCTGTTTGGGCATCTTTGTTCACGAGCGCGAACTTTGCAACTGCATGAACATAAAGCACAGATGCAGTAAATATACACACCTCCCTTAAAAACATGTTAATTGCCACCTGGTGGTTAAAAGTGGGAAGGATCACGGGCAGAAGAGGAGGCTTATATAACTGTGTGGAGAAATGTTTGTGATTCTCCTGTGGCGGTTCCATGGTCGTGTTGTGTAACGTGTCCATCAGTGGTGCTCATTGATGTTTCCTGGCAGAGAAGAGGCTTTTGTTTTATTTTGGGAGTAAAACAACAAATGTTGACCATGAGAGTCTTAGGCAAGAACATTAGATCCAGAACACTGTCATAATGAGTCTGCCTGCAATAAAACCTGCTCTTGGGTCATGTGATAAATTGTACTCCTCACTTCCTAGTTAAAAAAAAAAAAAATATATAAATAAATATAAAAAAATGTATA